CCTAGGCTTTTTCTTGCAACTCATAATCACAAATCGCAAGGGGTGTTCCCCAATGTTTTTTCTTAAAATTCGGATCCCAAAATCAGAAATCGCAAGGGATGTCCCCCTACGTTTTTTCTAGAATTCGGATATGAAAATCATGAATCGCAAGGGGTGTCGCCCTGAGGGTTTTCCAAAAAATCGTTGCTCAAAAACACAAATCGCAAGGGGTGTCCCCCTAAGGTTTTTCCAAAATTCAGATCCCGCAGCCACAAATCGCAAGGGGTGTCCCCTGGGTTTAGATAGTTTAGATAGTTTGGGCCTTTTCCTGGGGCCGCAAACTACCTAAACTATCTAAACTTCGTCCCCGCGGCCTCCCCAGCAGGCCCCAAATTATTTAAACTATCTAAACTATCTAAACCCAGCCCCTGGGTTTAGATAGTTTAGATAGTAGATAATTTTGGGCCTCCACCCGGGGCCCCAAACTATCTAAACTATCTAAACTCCCTTCCCGGCGGCCTCCCCAGAAGGCCCCAAATTATCTAAACTATCTAAACCCAGCCCCTGGGTTTAGATTGTTTAGATAGTTTAGATAGTTTAGATAATTTTGGGCCTCCCCTTGGGGCCCCAAACTATCTAAACTATCTAAACTCCTTCCGGCGGCCTCCCCAGGAGGCCCCAAATTATCTAAACTATCTAAACTCCGTCCCCGCGGCCTCCCCCTGGGGCCTCGAACTATCTAAACTATCTAAACTCCGTCCCCGCAGCCTCCCCAGGAGGCCCCAAATTATCTAAACTATCTAAACCCAGCCCCTGGGTTTAGATAGTTTAGATAGTTCGGGGCATCCCCTTGGGGCCCCAAACTATCTAAACTATGTAAACCCAGCCCCCGTGCTCTGTCTAGTCTATATAAAACCAAACAAAATCATCACATTATACACAGAGGTTCCTCGTACATATATATATATATATGGTGCACGCCCCATGTACCCACCTTTTTTGTGCTCTTCTTTCAAACTTTTCTATGCAAGAACGGGCCAGTCTGGCGTAAACGCGCGCCAAACTGAGCCGCCTATGCAAATTCCCCATTCCTGACAGTGTTTCGTAGACTCCGTAGCAACGGAACCCGTGCGAAAAAAAAATGTACATTTTTTGCACGAGTGCCAACCCTCTCAGGCCGAGGCTCTTTTGTGCTCACTCAAACAGCCATTGCTTGTCATGCTGGATGTCTGCGTACTGGCTCGATACACAGCGAAAACAGCCGGCCCTAACCCTTCTGTATGACGCAAGACTATCCTGGTTGGGGCGTGGAATATGCTCTGGTAAAGGTATGCTGTCGAAACACGAACGGGATTATGGTTGGGGCGTGGAATATGCTCTGGTAATCGTATGCTTTCGAAACACGAACGAGATCATGGTTGGCGCATGGAATATGCTCTGGTAATCGTATGCTCTCGAAGCACGAACGAGATTATGGTTGGGGCATGTATGCCATGGTAAGCGTATGCTCTCGAAACACGAACGGGATTATGGTTGGGGCGTGGAATATGCTCTGGTAATCGTATGCTCTCGAAACACGAGATTATGGATGGGGGCTGGATGCTCTGGTAAGCGTATGCTCTCGAAACACGAACATGATTATGGTAGGGGCGTGGATGCTCTGGTAAGCGTATGCTCTCGAAACACGAACTGGTTGGGGCATGGACGCCCTCGTAATCGTATGATCTCGAAACACGAACGGGTTTATGGATGGGGCGTGGATGCTCTCGTCGCGCGAAATTCAGCTCCTGCGACCCCTTCAAAACCGCGCGGTTACGCCAGACTGGAGGGAAAACCATGCCCAAACCATGAAAAGCTTCGAAAAACTGCCACACAAATAATGCTTTTCAAATGATTGGAAGAATTGAAAATTCATTGGATTTCTTGGTTTGTTGCAATGCTTTGGAGCTCCTGGCCTTCTCTATCCATGAAAAACCAGAAAACATTAACAAGAACCTTGCAAACACAAAATTCAAACGATTGGGCGAATTGAAAAGTCTCCCTTTTTGTTGTTCCAATGGTTTGGAGCTCCTGACCATGAAAACCATTGCTACAACCAAAAAAGCAAGGAAACGAAATGAACCACCTCACAGAAACCAGACCATGAAAGCCATCGCAAACAACAAGAAACATGACTTTTCAAATGCCTTAGATAGTTTGAAAACCATGGTTGTTGTGTTTTTGTGGTTTCTGGTTTCATGCAAGGTGTCTCATAGTTGTTCATGGTTTTCTTTCGGTTTTGCAATAGTTTGAAGGACCTGACCAATGAACACAATTGTCAAAAGTAAAAAACACAATTTCAAGTCTCCCAATAGCTTGGAAAATCATAGTTTGTTTGGTTTGTTGTTTTTGCAAGGCTGTTCATGGTTTGTCATCATTGCTCATTGTCTTTCTTGGTTTTTGCAAGGATTTGGGGCTCTGATCATGGAAACCACGGCAGAAAACAATGAATTTCTGAAAAGTTGTAGTTGCTGATTTCTTCTTTTCCCAACTTTTCGTGGCTAGAACATGTTTTCTTGTATGTTCATTGTTTTCCTGATTGTTCACTGGTTTTTTGTAGCTCCTGGCCAGGCTCTCAACTTCTTGAATAATCTCAAAATACTGTTTTGTTTGTTCTATATGCGATTCTTTCAGAGCACTTTTGCGAACAGTAAAACTCTAGGAAACAAAAAAGATATCTTGACAACAATAAAAATGCTTGCATTTCACTTGTAAAATGCCTGTGCAGCCATGTAATAAACATACTTTATTCAACTGTAGGAGGCAAAATGTGTACTTATTGTAGTTTCAATAATGAAGGTTTCAAAAAACGCTTCAGAAATAAACGAACCAAAACCGCAAGAAACTCCCCAATCTCGTTTTTGGGTATCTTGTTATCACGACCCTAATTACAATTGAGGCCTTTCATACAGAAATCATTCCCAATTTAGAGTCGTCTCCCAGGATTTAGGTGTTCAATGTGTTTTGTATTCTGTGGCACATGTTGCTATTGGGGAATGATCCTGAAATGTGGGCAACCCAAAAAAAACATAATGTTTCTAACCTGGCGTGTCGGTAGCTCGCCCCTAGCAACAAAACAGCGGTAACTCATATCATGAGCTGGAAAAAAGAGAGACCATGTTCCATACTGCTTATTAATGCGAAGCCTGGGTTGCTTTGTGTGCTCCAGAAAAAGAATGGAACATATCTTTTTGCATTTCAGCCAACACCTACTAGTAAATGCAAGCCCCGACTGTTGTGGTCAGATATGAGCCGCTCCATGGATTCATAACGACATAAAGCAGTTAACTTCTTGATAAGCAAATAGAAAGTCTTGCGCGTCATCGCAAAGATGTGTGCGCTGCCCCGTTCGGAATGAATAGTCGTAGCTAAAGCAATGGTTGTTCTGGCATCCAACTTGACATTTGGGGTCAGAACAACATGAGACGTCTCAGCAGTCCTGCAAAAAAATGAGACGCTAACTATCATAAAAACATCAGAACTGAAAATCCCTAACCAGCAAAGAACAAAACCCCAAAACTTGTTGTGTTGCATTTTCGTGAGGAGTGCACAACATGGAACCCCCAAGTTATTAATTCAACAAGGTATGGGCCCTCCGCGTAATCATAGCAAGATAAAACAATTAGCTGATAAACTTTTATTGAGCAAAAGGACATCTAGGTTGTCATGGCAAAAGGTTTAGACTGCCGTCTTTGGTATCAGACATTCATGAGAGCTACTGAGCATTCCTGACGGGCAAGACAGCAAAACAAAACAACTTCTCGTATTTCGGCGAGGAGCATACGAAGCGGTCTAGACTGTTCTCATGGAAGAAGAAGTTATCCTATTTGCGTTGAGATAACAGCTTTATAGGTTTGCGTTCAGACCAACCAGCGATTTGTTATCAAATATCATGGTCAAATCAAATCTCCAAGTTTTCCTTACCAGCAACGCGAAAGTTCCTGGTGCTTTTTGATAGGATCTATGCCACCTTCGTAACAATACATACTTAAATGCGATGAAAACTGAGAAACCCCGAAACCCTTGTAAATCTTGTAAATGCTTGCCATTACTACAGAATAATGGGGCGTGTCTTGCCAGGCATAGTTTTTGAAGGACAATGGCTGCGTTGTTAAGAAGAGACCCTCTCCTATCCTCCCAAGAACAAGAGGGTTTCTCAAGGACAAGAGTTCTTGAACCGTGCACGGTTGGGCTGTCGCAAGTGAGCGATGCCTCCCTAGGCAAGTTTTCAAGTGGGCTGCGAAAAGGCTAGGTACATAGGGGGGTAGCATATATATGTATATATACAGTATGTATATATAGATATGCTCACATACATATATGAACACATATATATATATAGATATTCATACTTATTCTGTTTATGGGCATGCTTTCCTTCATTCTTCTTTCAGCCCTTCAGACTTCATATCCTTGGTCTATTTCTGTACTTCCTTGTGTAAAGAGCTGTTTGTATTGGGGAAATACAGGGTACCACATCCCCTCTCCATTGGTGGGAATACGAACCCCCCCCCCTTACTGTCACAGTGAGGACCTCCCCTTTTTTTTTGAAACATAAAAGAACATGTTTTTTCAGTAAAAATGTGATGATACCATCACCAAACTTGTTTTTTGCTATGACAGGGGGGGAAATGCCAACTCATGGCATAGAATCCGTAGAAAGGTGGGTACCCCCATCCACTCAATAAGGGGAATCTGAGTGGGGATCTTGCAATGCTCCTCTGCGCACTGGGGCAGCAACTGCAGAAACTGAACACAGGCGGTGGCACGTCCTGTCAAGACATGAACGAACGCAACACCGTTTCGCATGGCAGAACTCGTCGCCTCGCGACGTCCGTAGGAAGGACTCCACCGCCTCGGTGTTCTCCTTTGGAAGATAGCTTCCGCGTGCAAGCTGATCACGATTTCTAGCCTGTGAACGGGGACGCGAATGTCCAACGCTTGCCATTCTCCACTTGCAGCATGCAGAACTCCTGGGCATACCATCCGAAAGCATCCCTGCCACCGCACCAGTGATTTTGGCAGCAAGGCATTCTGCCAGCTGCTCAGACGCTGACGCCTCAACTGAAGCTGCTCGAATCCGTTCACGCAATGCGCCGCTTGCTTGAAAGCCTCTGGAGTTGCCAGGAGTCGAAGTTCTGTTCCCGCAGGGCTCTCAACCAATCGAAAGACCAGTGCCCGTGGAACGCCCTCCTAGGCAGGATCAAAGCTTCGGGTGCAAACTTTGAAAGAAAAAGCAAGACGAAGTGCCTGGTAGGTGGAACGGAGTGCCCGGACAGTATCCTCTTGGGAGATGCCCTTCTCCCACGGCAGAAGGAGATTTCCAAGGGGTGCAAAGATGTTGCAACGACCCAACCTTACTGTTCCCAGACGTGGTCAAACTGCACAGCAGTGAGACTGAGACCGCTGCGGAGTCAAAGCGCTCGTAGCACATGCTGAGGTTTCCGCCTGTGCAAGCAAACGATGCGCTTATGTATGGCTGCGCATTTCTGAAGAGAACCTGGAGAGTGAAGGATTCCGCTGCCATCATGTGGCGCGTGTAATCAACCCGCGACTCATTCACCTGTGATCACAGGAGCTGCTGGGCGCAGAGCCACAGACGACAATTCTGAGGCCTTTAGAGCTTCGTCGTCTCTCAGGTCCTTGCATCAGCTTTTCGTTAGGTGCGTGCAACAGACAGGCTTCTCAGAGACAAAGGGCAAGGCGACGTACAGAGCTCCAGAATCGATCATGAAAGCCTGCGGGGCCATGTCAAGGATTTAGCCGCTGCTGGACCAGGCAGCGCACAGCCACAGTGCACGGAAGCCCTTGCGGACACTCCAAAATACTGCAAGGTTGTCCCTGGTATTTCCTGCTACTGGTGCTGGGATGTGTGTCTGCCAGTAAAAGCCTCTCACATGCTGCTGGGGCATATGGAACAGGGTGTGTCTGGAATCACATCTGCTTCTCACGTTCACACATCACACAATTATTCAAACCTCTATGCCTCCGGCGTTTGCCACTTGCTGCGATTGCAGATTGTGCTACAGCTGGCATGACTAAGGACCATCCCTGCGCTGTTTGTTGCCTTTGGCTTAATGAAGCTAAGCAGGCGAGGATGCCAGCCTGATACGAACTCGCAACGTCGTCCAGCATATCAAGAAGAGGGTGCTGCGTTGTCAGAATTCGAGCCAAGCCTCAAACAGTATGACAGGGAGTGGAATGACATGAAATTGGAGCGGCCAAAAACTTCATGGTAGGCAGAGCTGCCACGCAGCTCACGCAGCTCAGCAGCTCACGCAGCCCACGCAGCTCTGAGGCTGCGGCTGAGAGTACGCACGTGCGTTTCAGCCAAGCTCAAGAGATCCTGATGCCAGGATGGTGCCATCAAGCACCAACCCAAAATGTCAGGACCCCAAACAGGGCCTATATACTACATGACTATTATAGTTTCTGCCGAAAAGGGGTACTGTCGGCATTGTAACAGTGGTACTGGGATAGTATAATGATCAACTATCGGTTTGTAGCGTCTGTTCTGTCAGCAAACTATGCACATGCCGCATGCCCCCTAAAGGAATGCCAACATGACAATCACAATGGGCCCAGTTGGGCTAAGCCGGCTAAGCTTACTAGCACGATGGCTGCAATTTCAGCTCCCCTTGTCGAGCCCCGAACCCCGAACCCTCAAGATCAGTGTGTCTTTGTAGGCACTGATACCCACAGCTCATGCTGCAAGGTCCACGCTGGTCGGATGTAGAACGAGACCCTCCAACTACCCTCTAGTATGGCTCAATATTAGGGGCCCTGACGTGCTTGTTTTCGGGTATTTAAACGTTCTGGGTAAAAATGTTAACTCAAATATTATAACCCAATGATGACCATTTTAGGGTGCCAATCATTGGGTTATACGTACAATTGTACGTTGGTTATAGCTACCTCTCAGGTACAGCGCGAGGAGAGCTCAGGGAACTTGTCCAGCAGCTCCATTACACGAAACGCAAAGAGGACGGATCCCTTTGCAGGGGATGAAGGAGATATATGAGCCATAATCTAAACGCGAGGCTGTGTCTAGTCTAGGGAACATAAGCACATACAGAGCTCCGAAACCCCTTCAAACCTCTTGCCGAGGAAGCTAGCCGATGGTATCAGATTGCATCAAGCATTTTGCTATGCCGCCCTGTGCCACCCAAGCCAAAGTCCGGATGTGGCAGGAGGTGCGAACGGGTCGGACAAAAAAAGCGCCTCGCAAACTATGATGCTGAGCATGTTCCACAGCCTTACATCACCATGTGAGGAAATATGAAGCCACATTTCCCTGGAACTGACGACGTTGGTCTGTGGGTTGCCTCAGGCATTCTAGGGCACAGTAAGCTGCCTCAATTCTGCTTCATCGTCGCATTCTTGCCATGCAGAAGGCCCAAACATTCTTGACCAGAGAATCTCCCTCCGCATTGCCTTTATCCCATGTCTAAGCGCACCGCAGCTTGGAGGGCCTGCGGGGCAAGAGTGAAAACGATTTAACGAGCCAAAAATAATTGCATGACGGGTGTCAGCAACATGGGACGAGCACAAGAAGGTGCGTTTCCAGCTGCGGAGGGCGGGGAAGCCAAGCCTGCATGGCTTGCTTTCTCAGCTTTTCAATTCATTTGTAGAGCAGAATTATGTAGAAGTTATTGCGAAATGGGCCAAGCTGAAATTTCGGGACATGCGAGCTGTTGGCTTGAAGCAGTCCAAAGCCTGTAGCGTGGGTGCAATGTTTTGGAGGGGAAAAGCTTGCTGTTCGGACCAGTTGCGTGGCCAGAAACACAGTCTTGTGGCAAAAAAGATCCCTGAGAGCAGTGTGCAAAGAAGCCTTGGTGCGTGAAGGAGTGCACCGCTTTAGATCCAAGATACTTAGCAAAGGACTGTAATGGCGGTGGGGGGGGGTCCCGAAACGTGGTCTGGACGATGCTTCTGAAAAGTGACCCCTTGGGGGGTGGGTAGGACGGTGCCCCGATGAAGCTGCACAGTCACACACTGCAAATACAATCTGGTTTCCAGCCATCAGCTGAGATTCAGTTGCGGCACGCTCCACAACACATAAGTGATACGCTATGATACTCTGGTTCATGTTGCTCTTGCAAATGCATGCTAGCGAATGAGCGTGGACGTGCCCTACAGCCCTACAAACCTGGACCCCTTTAACACCCTGCTCCATCATCTCTGCCGGATCATACAAGCAAGATAACTGGAGCCTGCAGTAACAGGAGGTCACACTTACACTGCGGAATGCATGTGACAAGAAAGGGTCCCAGAATGTCCCAGACCAATTTCGGCACCGTCACCACGTGCGCATGGTGAGCACATGCAGGCGAGCTTTCGCGCAGGTTAGTGTCTGCTACCCTTCTTCACTTCCCCCGGATCCAAGACTCCAACCTCAGTGAAAAATCAGACCTGACCAATCCAACGCAAACCTTGAAGTACGGCATGACTTCATGACAATCCGTATGACCTCAACATCTCTTGGGCTTCACTCACCGACAGCACAATGCGTCCTCAGTCTCCTCATCAAACACGGGAAATCGAGCCTCGAAACACGCAAGACGCGGAGCAAAATTGGAAAATACTATACTGCAAGGTCACGACCCAAGCGCTTGAGAGATATGCCGCTGCAACGGACAGTGGACACCCTGTCTGGCCACAGAATTTGAAACAGCTGTCGCGGAACCTCTACACAACTCATGGAAGTGGGTAACAGCTGGGCCATCAACTGCGAGGCCCGTGCAGGATGAAATCAGCACTGGCGGCCAGCAAAGCCTGCTCAGAACATACCTTGAAAAGTAGCCATGGCTTAAGCCTCAACCGAAGGCATCCAGACAGCAGCCTCGTGCATGTGTCGGTGTCGTACATGATTCATCAGGGCAACAGAAAACGCGTCCTCCTCGTGTTCATGCTTGTGGTGTCGCTTGGTAGATGATGTCTCAAGGCTTTACAAGTCCTCATTGCAGCCGGAAAGAGCTGATGCAGCTTCATGCACCTAAAAGCAAGGCCAAGAAGCAGGTTTCATCACACTCCAGATGCCAAGCCTGTGCCGGTTTTTGTAGAAGCCGAAGCAAACGGAAAATTGGCCAGCCACTCCGAGCCTGGGTTATGACATGCTATGACCGGCATGCAAGCAGAAACGTTGTGAGATGAGTGTCGTGAGGATGCAGCGACCGCTGGCCAGCCCCAGTTGCTCAAGAGAGCCCAATTGACGTCCAGGAGACCACCTTCCTGGACACATACGGAACCGGCTTTTACCGGGTTTGGAATGCAACAATGCCACGGAATAGTACCAAACAGAGCTGTACACGGAACTACAATTAATAGTCTGAGAGTCTCTCCACACGTCGTAGCCATCTGTCAAACCTGCGAGAAGTGGAGAACTGACGATGACTGACCGCATGACCGCGCCACACTAAGAGCAGATCAGGCCGCGGCCAGGCTGGCTGAGTAGCAGGAGCAAGTCCAAGGAAACTTGACCGGGAATGCAATCTCCAACAAGGCCATCTGTGATATGGCTTAACCTGTTCTGCTCTGTGCTGCCAGTGACAGATAGTGACAGATAGGGATGGTAAAATCATCGAGCCTTTGGGTGAAGGATGCCGCCGTTCTGTCCAGCTCATCAGCCAGCGTCTGCGTGCCACCCTTGCTTGTTCTAAGTCCGGCGGTCTTGCCCAACTTCAGATATCTGGGCTTCTCTGGCCTGCCCCTCCAGAAGCCTCAACAGTCGCCGATGCACCGATGGCCAATCCTGCAAGCTTGTAATGGAGCCCGCTCCCTAGTAGAAGTGCCTTCTTCAGATAAAGCCTCATGCGTTTTGGAACTACAGCTGAGATCCTTAGCGAAACAGCAGAGTCCAAAGAAGCACAATCGTCAACAGTGTCTGAGCCAGGCTCTGCAGTGGCTAACTCGGCAATTTCAAGTCCAAACAACCTTGCGACGCAGGGGGCGCAACAACAGCGGCACACCATTCAGCGCATAGAATTGGGCTTGATGTGATGAAAGAAGCCCAGCAAGCAGCGTGCAAAGCCCACGTGGAACCCGTGCACATACCAGAGCTCAGCACTGTCGCAGGTAGCCGACATACCAACGGGCACGGGGCAAAGGAGAAGTTGCACAAATCAAAGGAACTGACAAATCCTGAGGCATGCCAGCATGCCATCAACCTACGTCAAGCTGGCGAGATAGCGAGGTATTGCCAGATAGCTACCACCCAGTAGCCAAATGCTAGCCAAACATAGCGGCTCGGATAGCTCCGGGCAAGAAGGCTCGGCCTCGTTCACGCGGGAGAACGAGAAAGTCGTCCATACTCATTTATCGATGCGGCTTCACCGTTTAGACTGCTCGCAGTATTGCCCTCTTTGGAAATCCTTGCCAATCTGGAAGCTCGAGCTAAATAATTCGCTCTGCGTACTCCAAAACTCTCAAACACGCGCTGGCTTTGAATTGACAGGAAAGCTGTGTAGATCTTGCTGAGCATCCGGCCAAAGCTTTGGCAGCATGGCCGCGCTTGCCGTGCTTGCTGCAGATTCATCTGGCTCGGCATGGATTTCGGCTCCCTGAGGAAGCACATTGTACAAGCAACACTCAAGCTGCGCTGTGGTCGTACCGTGTACTGTTCTAGCTTCTCATCTTGCCGCTGCAGATCCTCCGAGGTATCTGGGAGCCTAGGACATCATGCGTTTGGCCTATGTTTTACATGGGCTCCAAAAAACATCGGCTCTGCACAGAGTTAAGGCAGCTTCTCAGATCTGATCACACGATGCCTGTACAAACATGATCAAAAGAAGCAGATGCAAATCCCAGTTCCAGCATGACAGACCACTTCTTTTACACCAGCCACTGCTTCCGTGGCAGGAACTGGTACAGCAGAATGCATTTTGCCGCTCGATGCCTGCAAACAAATCCGTTATCCACCCTCGAGCACGGCGACTACTATCTGCCACAAGCCACAAACGCCAAAATCACACAGCTGCGTGAGGGGACTTTGGATTCTCGATGATTCTGGGGAGAACAGCAAATCTTGCAACGTTGATGCATGGCAGGGTCTTCGCAACGTCGCTGATGACGATGTCACCGTGCCCGCTAGCATCCACTAGACCCTCATCTGTACAGGAACTCATGAAACACGCGAGTCTTGGAAAAACTTCCTCTTCTTGCATTAAGGCGGCATTGCTCTATCTTTCACTAGAGCTTGATGATGATGGCACTGCAATTGTCCCCACCTTGCGTTGGAGCAGCATGTTCCACCCTAACACTTCAGGATGTAATCTGACTGAGAGGGGGGCCTTTGCCTCTGGTCTTGACCAAGTTTGGACTACAGCTTTGGTCCACAAGCTCTTCAGCTGCCTCGACACGTGGAGCTGTTGCTTCGCAAGCTAGGGACACGCGACGAGCAGCAAATGCGCCTGCTTGACACTTTGGCCTGCCTTCAGCGCTACTCGGATGATGTCGACCACTTTCTGGCGTTGTGTCACCACATTTGTCGGATACAAAGCTATCCTGAAGAATCCTAATGCTGTGCGCAGCCTGGGAGGTATGCAGCTCGAAGCAACCATCGCAAGCCAGAACCTCACAAGAAAGCCCTGGATTCAAGAACGATCACAAGGATTTGATGCCAAGTTCCATACTAAAAACTCGTCGTCGCTGTGCAGCTCCACGGTTCGGATCTTGGAAGACGAAACGAGGCGAAAGGTAGACATTACACAACAGATCAACGCAGCACACGCGGCAGACGAATCTGCTTCCGCAGCTCCTGCCTCCGGCACAGCGATGACCTTTTGTTGTTCCGCGCTCAGATCCGGCCGGGCCTGCGAATTCAGGAGCACGCCTGCTGAATACGGCAGGGCGGGGGACAGGCCGCACGCCTTGTAATGAAAGTCGCCAAGGGCCCGAGATAGATTGAGACCCCACCTTTGCGAAATGGTCGCAATTTCGTTTGAGCCGTTAAAACCATAGGTACACAAAATTGATGGAAATGAGGAATCTTCCGCACACGAGCTGTGGAGGGGGCCTTGCAACCACGACAAGAAAACGAACATACTGACCATGACAAGATATTTGTGCTCACCACGGCAAGAATTGCACCACAGTAGCACGACAACACTCCACTGCTCCCCGCATCAAAGCCCAGATCGCTTGGAAGTACGCAGTTGGGGACTTTCAAGCGCCTACACGGCCTCCCCTCAAAATGCGTACTCCCAGCTGCTCCCCCCCTTCAAAGCCCAGATCGCTTGGGAGTACGCATTTTTGGACTTTCAAGGGCCCAAACTCCCAAAATGTGTGCTCCCAACTGCTCCCCCCCTTCAAAGCCCAGATCGCTTGGGAGTTCGCATTTTTGGACTTTCAAGGGCCCAAATTTTGCAAATGTGTATTCATCTCGCCTTCAGGCTCTTGTTTGCATGCCCTGCAGCCACATGTTGCCTGCAGCACTTCCACAGACTAGTTGCATAACCTCAAACACATGATCTGAACTTGTCGGGATCACCCCAAATCTTAGTCATTGTGAGAAAAAAGTGTCGTAGCGAGAAAACACATGAGCAATGGTTTTTATTCCTGATTGATTTCTTTAGAAATAACAACC